TGAGTGAGTGAGTTATGGTTCAACCTACTTCGAAGGTGAGCAACGGAACCACGATCGTCATCCAACTGACGGCCATCGTAATGTGTGTTCTTCTCTGTTCGGCAATCACGTCCATTGAGCGTAAGAACAAGACTGACCAAACGATATAATATAGCACAACCAAACAGAGAAAGGACATCAGGATCCACAGAGGGACACAAACAACCTGGAAATTAAAACGGGTGGAAGAGGGAAAAGAGAGACACTTGTCACTCAAAAGGACATTTCCATTCTATGCATCCAACGTTTGAAAATCTAGGTTCTAACAATGAGTAGGAATATGCTTTGAAATATTGGTGTGGGGGTTCCGTTTAGCACTGATGACGTTACATAGTTGGGTCATGAAATGTCTGCAAGGTGACAGCCAAGCTCAGAGAGCACCAAGGACCCCACAGTCATTGTCCTCCTCCTCCTCCAGTCTGGAAATCCTACTTCCTTCTAGCACTAATGGTGTTGCCTAGTTGGGTCATGAAAGATCTACAACCAAGCTCAGAGAGCACCAAGGACCCTACAGTCATTGTCCTCCTCCTCCTCTTCCTCCTCCATTTGGCAAATCCTACTTCCTCCTAGCACTGATGGTGTTACCTAGTTGGGTCATGAAACATCTACAAGGTAACAACCAAGCTCAGAGAGCACCAAAACCCCAGTTCAACCTTGCAACTACAAAAATTCTTTTCTATTGAGGTGTTTATTTTGGGCAAGGATGATTATTATTATTATCTAATCCCATGAAATGCTTCCTCTACCATTGTACCTCCAGTCTCACCTACAGGCTGGAATTTCCAAGAGGAATATCATTCAAGTACTCATTAGATCTTCCCTTACTTAACTTGCTCGGGTGATGATGCCGAATTAGGTGCATTAAGTTCGCCACTCCAAAGGATTCCTCTGCAACTACGTCAGAATGTCAAAACCTATACATTGCTTTTTTTGGCGTGCCAGCCACAATACCGACCTAAAAACCCTGACATTCTGAAAAGAGAACAAGGTGTAATCACAGTTTACGTACAAGCCATGGCCACTTGATGATTTCGTCCAATCGGAGGGCAATAAATATGAACTGGAGTATATTGACGGAGCACAGGATTTCCAGCTAGGAGAGAACATAAAAAGCAAACGCAGTTAAGGGTCAAATGGATTTTGCCGCAACCAGCAACAAGTGTCTTGCTTGAGGTAGCAAAGCTACAAGTACCTAGCAATTTAATGCAGGTAGTCCTCAAGCTACGACCACAACAGAGCCCAAAATTTATGCCGCTGAGTAAGAAATTAGTCAAGGGAATTTTGGCCCCATTTTTACGACTTCTCTGGCCACATCTGTTAAGTGAATCACTGCAGTCGTTAAATTAGTAATCTGGTTGTTAAGTGAATCTGGTCTCTCCATTAATTTTGCCAGAAGGTCGCAAAAGGGAATGACGTGACCATGGGACACTGGCAACTGTCATAAATGTGAGTCGGTTGGCAAGCATCCAAATGCAAATTAATTATGTAGAATATATTGAAAATAGTATTTTGTAATGTATAGATAGATGATTGATAAGGTGTTTGAGAAAATATAATGCGGAATCTGAAAAAAATATATTTGTGTTATATACTAGATAGGGAGATTGATATTAAGGTAGAATGAAGGTGGTTAGCTTGAATTATTAACCAGAGGGGGACAATTATATTTACAGATAAAGATTGGTAAAATGACAAATGTGACAGAAAAAAGTAATATGAGAAATGACAACAGAAATGAGATGAGAATTTTAGATAACATTGTAAAATAAGATATGAGAATGTATTAACGTAACATGAATTGGAATTGGATAAGCTTAATATTTAACAATAATGATGATGCAATATGAAACTAAACAAATATAACAAACAGGTACCTATGGAACCACACTGCTTGCCAAATGAGAATTTTTTATTTTAAAAAATAAAAAGCAAGGAGCAAATGCAAATTACGTGATCATAGAGATACTGCAACGGCCGTGTGAAAAATGGCCATAAGCCACGCTTTTCAGTGCCGTAACTTCGGTCACAAAGCGAACTGTTGTAAGTCGAGGACTACCTGTTCATCATGGGTCCTTTGTGAATCTTCAAAAGATGATTTGCAAAAAAGGCTCATGAAATACATTTGCAAAGCAGATATGCCTCCGTTTTACTCCAGCCAAGTAGAATTCTGCTCTTCCTTGAATGAACCTCTCTCTCTCTCTCTCTCACATACACGCACACACACTAAATATTCTGAATTATAAAACTTTGTTCGGCCCCCAAGAACGACACGAGGGTCCTTTAGACCCAAAAATATTGGTTAAAAATTCAAAAATGGTTACAGGAGATTACCAATGAACAAATAGAATTAGAACTGGATTTATTTTTATTGGCGATATTCAGAAAGAAATATGGGTGAAATATAAAATATTTAATAGTGCACATATTAACTGCAGCCAAGATTATATATGCCCAATGTTGGAAACACACATGTATACCGCCAGAGGAACTGATCATTCAAAAAATAATGAGCTGTGCCAAGATGGACAAATTAACTTTGAGTTTACAAGAGAAAGAGGAACCTGACTATTACAAGATGTGGGGAAAAGGGTATGATTGGATTGAGCAAAGGTAGGTTGTTGGACAGATAAATGGATTGTAAATAAATAGGAATAAGCACTAGATAAGTTAATGATTTATATCCGCACAAATTCTATACATTTGTAAATAATGCACAAAATATTAGTATAAGATGAATGCCACAAACTGTTGATGTTATAAGATTTATATTCTTTGTTGTTTGTCTTTTTAAAATTATAAAAGATTAAATTTTTTTTTAAAAAAAGAGTAGTTTCCTTTATTATTGTTCTCCTAGAGACAGACTCTTGCCAGACTACAGCAGCTATTTGCAAAACTATTGATATACTCCAGGATGAGGTAGGGAGGAGCCGTTTTAATCCTCCTTCCCGCTGTGCCAAATTTTCCAAGCTCCACTGCCTCTCTAGCCTCTGAGAAACAGCCCCCCCCCCCCTTCCTGGGAATCCAGACTACATTCCACCCCACCGGTAGCCCAATACTTCTAAAGGTGTCCCACTGTCCCACAGAGCCAATCAATCATGCACATCTGTACAAAACAAAGAACCTTTCACAACCTCGCTAAATAAAATTCAGGACTAGCTTGGAATGATGACCCCACTCCTCAAGTTTTCTAACGTGGACCCTCCTCACCTCCAGAGACCGGTCATGGCGGAAGCCCCACACGCAAGCAGCCACCGATACCGGAGACACGAAGAAGAGGGGCATGAAGACCAGCAGCCAGAAACGGGTCCCTCGCTCGATTCCGTCGCAGACCAGAACTTCAAACATCAGCAGGAGGAGGTGGATGCCGACGGCAATTAACATGGCTTTGAACTCCACACACGTTTCCCCTTCTGCTCTAAAGAGTTAAAAAATAATAATAATAATTCAATTCCGCTAGTTCACCCCTACTAAAGAGGTTCACCCAAGCGTTTCCTGACGTTGGGCTGAGCTTCGTCCCTGGAAAATGACCCATTTCTATAGGGCAGGGGTGTCCAACCTTGGCAACTTTAAGACTTGTGGACTTCAACTCCCAGAATTCCTCAGCCTGGGAGTTGAAGTCCACAAGTCTTAAAGTTGCCAAGGTTGGACACACCTGCTATACGGTAAGCAGGCAAAAAGAAACAATTGGGCATCTCAAACAATGAAAAACAATAGCAATAGCGCTTCCTTATATACCTCTTCACAGTGCTTTACAGCCCTCTCTAAGCTGTTTACAGAGTCAGCCTGTTGCCCGCCCCCCAACAATCTGGGTCCTCATTTTAACGACCTCGGAAGGATGAAAGGCTGAGTCAACCTTGAGCCGGTCAGGATCAAACTCCTGACAGTGAGTAGAGTTAGTCTGCAATACTGCATTCTAACCACTGGGAGGGAGGGAAGGAAGGAATAGCAATAGCACTTATATACTGCTTCACAGTGCTTTTACAGCCCCTCTCTAAGCAGTTTACAGAGTCAGCCTCTTGCCCCCAACAATCGGGGTCCTCATTTTACCAACTTCAGAAGGATGAAAAGGCTAAGTCAACCTTGAGCCTGGTGAGATTTGAACTGCCAAATTGCAGGCAGCTAACAGTCAGCAGAAGTAGCTTGCAGTACTGCACTCTAACCACTGAGCCTCAACAAAACAACAATGCAAATCTTAGGTCTATGGAAGAGGTGATGCCCAGCACAGAAAATTAATTAAGGATGGATTCACACTCAGGTTCACACAAAGTTTTAAAGATAGTGCTTGGATTCCTGTTGCATGCTGAATAACAAACTGTGCAATAAACCTGTTTCCATTTAGGCTGTGGTACCTAGTGTGAATCTAGTCTATTTATTTAGTTTGAAAAAAAAATCACATCCAAGGGATATTTCCTGGACCAGTAGTTGCAGTTATATAGCAAGTCAAAGATGAACCAGCTTCTTTGGTAGCTGGATCACAAAATGTCTACTTTAACAGGTAGCCCTTGACATACGACCATAATTGAAGCCAAAACTTTGGTCACTAAACGAACTGTTGTAAGCCAAGATGGGTCTTACCTGAATCTTCAAAAGACAATTTGCAAAAAAACCCAAGACTTGTAAAATACATTTGCAAAGCAAGTACGTGTCCCTCTTACCGATATTGTGGGTTCCGGGCCCATACACCAGTCCCTACGGAGGCACCCACTATAACCATTAACTTCCACAGCCATATCGGAGCAAACACAGCCCAGTAGCTCCACTCGATCTTGTCATCCAGCCGGAGAGACAGCAAAATTGAGAACAGCAGCAGGCAGGCATAAATAAGAAATTTGCTATGGAAGAGGGAAAAAAGGGGAAAAAAAAGAGGGAAGATTAATTTATGACATTATCGCCTTTGGAATTGTGGTGTGTAGTTTGTGTTTCGAAAACAATGTCATTCAGAAGAGGTGAACAAAAGGAGACAACAAAAGTTTTTAACAGACATTTAACAGATTAATAGAGTTGCTAATAACCTGAAACTTCTGATTTTAAAACCCTTCCGGCAGCTGCCAGGGCACTTTTAAATTATAATCTTAATTTCCCATTTATGCAAGACCAAAGATAAGTTTTAAGATCAACATTTCCCAACTGTAACTATTTAAAGGTATCTAAACTTCAACTCCCAAAATTCCCCAGCCAGCATAGACTGGATTCACACTAGGCACCACAGCCTAAGTGGGGTTGTACAGCTGGTTATTCAGCGTCTAACGGGAATTCAAGCACTGTCTTAAAACATGGTGTGAATCTGGCTATCGCGTCCACCCACAATTCGTTTTCCATGTTACAACTGTGGTCGTTAGTCCAGGGCAGCAATTATTTCATCACACCAAAATATATCTCTCAGCTCCACAAATGGATTTTGTGGGATCCTACACAACATGAGTGGTAAAATCAGACGTCAGGTCCCGATATAATCTCCTTTTAATGCCACGTTTGCCTTCCTCTCCGTTTGGAAAAAAAAAGAAAATTCATTAGCAGGGAACATTGGCTTCCTTCCAATGCCTCCCACCAGGAAGCTGACTCACACACACAGCAGCTGTCTTCAAACTGTCATTATTCAGTCAACACAAAGGAAGGAAGATGATGAGCTAGGAAGCCCAGGCAGAGAATCTCCGATTCAGCAGCAATTACAGATGTGCGACGAACAAGAAGCTTGCAAGGGCGACAAGGTGACAGCGAAGCGATAGAAAAAATGTGCAGCCCGGGAGACGGATTCTTGCTCTGCTGCTTTAGGCTCCTTATGATTATAAGTGAAGGGATTTTGTGGGGTTATTGCCACTCCTCTTGCAATTCTGTATTTACTGTAGTTTCATACGAGCCAAGAATGGGAGGTTTCTGAATGGAGGACAACGAGCAAACCTGGAGACGTTCTTCGAGGGTAATAAGCCAGGTTGGTAATTTTTGGGGAGGGCCAGAGGTGTCAACGGCTGGAACAACCCTGATGGGGAGTGGAAGGAAGTGCTTGGGCAAGGTCAACCTAAAGACACCCAGTTAATAGATCGTCGAAAATTCTTTAGGCCTATGGCAAAGAGATGGAGCGCTTTGTGCTCTCTGAGCTTGGTGGTTTTCTTGCAGACTTTTTCATGACCCAACTAGGTAACATTATCAGCGTTCATGCATTTGAGGTTTGCTTTGCTCTCTGTTTAAGACTAGAACACATCACCCTCTCCAGTAGCCAGAATTCAGATAAACAGGGATTAACCCCTGACAAACGATCAAGCAGGAAACAATCCCCCAAATCAGGGCTCTTCAAAATTGACAGCTTTAAGACTGGTGGACTTCAACTCCCAGCATTCCTGAGCTAACATGACTGGAGGAGGAATTCTTGTGATATATGATAGATAGATAGATAGATAGATAGATAGATAGATAGATAGATAGATACCGTGTTTCTCATATAATAAGGCCGGGTCTTTTTTTTTGTTGAGCCCCGAAAAAATGGCTAGGCCGTCTTTTCAGGGGTGACTTAATTTCTCCCCCCCCCTTGCATCTTCGGGCGGGTGGGCGGCGATGGCTTGGATGTTGACCTCGGCGTTGGTGGGGCACTTTGTATCAGGGTCAACGCAGGCAGCACCATATCCGGGTGTGCAACAAAAGTACTTCTTAACAGCAAGCCCCCCCACCATTCCCCCCATTTCGCATGTTTTAATATAGGCCTTAATTTGGGGGGAGGGGCTTAATTTCATTTCATGCCTATAAAACATGCTGGGACTTCCTATTGGGGGAGGCCATATTGTTGGAGAAACAGGGTAGATAGATAGCTAGATAGCTAGATAAATAGGTAGGGAGAGAGAGAGAGATGATAAATTGATAGGTGATAGATCAGGGGTCTTCAAACTTGACAGCTTTAAGGCTGGTGGACTTCAACTCCCAGAATTCCTCCTCCAGTCATGTTAGCTCAGGAATTCTGGGAGCTGAAGTCCACAAGTTTTAAACTTGCCAAGTTTGAAGACCCTTACCCTAAATCATGATCATAGTCATCAGAAAAATACATTCATCACAAATCATGAGATATACTACTTAGTGATAGTCATAGGGTTAAAATAAACTTAGGGTTTAAATAAAATTAAATTTAAAAAAAGAGAAAAATCTTCCCAATGAAAAGCAATAATTTGCATGGACAGGGTCTCCTCTTCCTTGTTCAGTTCCCACAAAGCTATGGCAGTGACACAACTGGGAAACTTTCCCCACTGTTTAGAAGAGCCAAGCCAACTCCAAAGGCACAATTTGTATTCCGCACTTGAGCCGTTGTGTAAAAACTGCTTTAATTCAATAGCCTGTTCTTTTTTTTTTTTTTTTTGTCAGAAGGCTGAAGAGGCCAGGAATGACTCTTAAATGAGTGAAAATGAAGGAGGATAGAAAGTGTGCAGGATGTAAAGAGAAAAGGAAATTGACATTTTTTTAAAAACAATATCCCTTTTATGAGAAAAGCAGGAAGGTTTTATCTGTCTCTGGAAGGCAGAAGCAGAAACGTTCTTCCATGTGAGAGAATAAAAAAGGGGAAACAAAGCGCCTTCCTGTTTAATTCTTTTATTTACATCGTTTCTTCTATCCCAAGGACACAGTGTGAAGTTCTACGACTGCTGGTTGAAACTAGTTTTACTCTGTAAAAAAAAGGCAGTCTACGCTCTCCTCAATGTTTGATATTCCCCCAAATCCTACAAGCATGATCAAAATCTGTGCTACTATTCTGCGACACCAGAATCATGCTTTAAAATAAAAATTTTAAATGCAGTATATTGTTTTTAGATGGTTTTCTGATCGACGTACTCTATATTCCAACAGGTAAGAAAAAAAAATACTGGCTGTGGTTTATGGGGATTGTAATCCAGACCTACCCCATAGGTTGGATCTCTTTCCTCCACCAGCCCTAAATACTGGCTGTGCCTTATGGGATTATAATCCAGATCTACCCTATAGGGATGGGTCTCTTTCCCCCACCAGACCCAAATACTGGCTGTGCCTTATGGGGATTATAATCCAG